TAGACGCCATGCTGCCGGGTGTAATTTGATGAATATGTGTCCAGAAAGTATTCTAACATTTTCATTTGACTAATTAGTAGTATATCTTGAGAAAATGGTGCTTTACTCCCTTCAAAATTGAAACAATCTGCAAAAAGACAGTCTGCAAAGGACTCCTTCGGGATTACCATCTGTCACCTCATCGTGTTTTGAAAGCGATTTTCAGATTTAGACATTAATTGGAAGCTAAAAAAAAGGAAACGTTTGAGTTATGCGATGTTTTGACAAAAACACCCTGCTGGAGAGATGAAGAATCTATTAGCTCGAATATTGTGAATAGCAGCTGACTACCGACTTCATAACTAGAAAGGGAGGAATAACCAAAAACAGAGTTGGAAATGAAAATGGTAATCATTATAACATCAACAAAATACAATACTCGCCAGCGGCGTATAGTACGTAAACGACTGCCAGTGGTAGACTATTTAGAAAGCATATTACCCACACTTACAATAGTGTCTAACCTATTTATGAGGACTGGGATATACCCATTATTGTTCATAAGTACCATATATAACACTATAGAAAAGAGATTCTGTTCACGCTTGTCCAGTAATGCTCCAACTTAGATTAAGGCCGTGCAACAGGTTCTTAATATATTCAAATGACTGAATTAAGTTTTGTACTGAACTCGTAAATCCATTGTGTGACTTCTTTCTTTTTTTTTTTTTTTTTGAACCCCTTTCTTTTTATTATTATTTTCTGGTTATTTCAACGTTTTCTTCCTTTTTTTCATTCTTTCATTGCATTTTTCAACCTCTTTCTAAATATTTTTCTTTGCCTCTTTTCATCATTTCTACTTAAAATCTTTTCTTTCCTTTTCTTTAATTCCATTGCTTTACACTGTTTATTCTTTCTCTAATGTCTTTCTGTTTTTTCCCTTCCCTCTCTCTTTCTTTATTTCTATTATAACTGCTTGATTTGCTTGTTTCTTTACTTCTACCTCTCTTTCTTTATTTCCTTCTCTGCCTTTCTTGGTTTTATTTATTTATTTTTTATTTATTTTTTCTAAATTTTTACATTACTTTAAAAAAAATGATAAAAATCATTTTAGTTGAAGGCGAATGAGTTTAAGATACATGCCAATCAACGGAGATCTCCAGGAGTTTTGGAGTTTCTTAAACTTTTATATCGACAAGGAAATGATGACGACAATATCAGCCATACTGATATAAAACGTTTCGTTCTCTCGATCCAAAAATCGAGTATAGCTGGCGCTGCATAATCCTTATAAAACGCTCTGTACCTTCTACCAAACATTGTTATCTGGAATCGGTACATTTTGTTCGATCTGACTCTGTTAATCCCTCCTGATCCAAGCTTTTCATCTAAGGAACCCTTGAATATAATGAAGTCTCCGCGATATGGTATCTTGCTTATCCGTCATTTACGATCTTCAAAATTTTATACAACGTCAATCACCATATACTGACAGAAATAGACTTCAATAAGTACCAAAAAAAAATAGAAAGAGGCTTCTGACAAGTATGTGTCATTCGGACAGGTATGTGTCATTCCGGCAGGTATGCGTCATTCCCATAAGTATGTGTCATTTCGCCAATCTTATTAAAACTTTACAGTGTGGCGACCCTGAGAGATGAGAAGTCCTGCTAGGATGTATTATTAACGGGCACCTTCTTAACAAGATAGCTAATTTTTCATAAGAGACATAGTCATATGATTCCTTGTTGATAGTCATATGTAGATGTCTGATCGTTGATAGCAGACATAGGCATTGTTGATAGAGTTATATGTAGATGACTGTTGATAGAAGACATAGGCATATGACTCATTGTTGATAGAGTCATATGTATATGACTGATTGTTGATAGCAGACATAGGTATATGACATTGTTGATAGAGTCATATATATATAGCTGATTGTTGATATATATATGTTATATATAATTCATTGTTGAAAGTCATATGTAGATGTCTGATTGCTGATAGCAGACATAGGTATATGACTCATTTTTGATAGAGTTATATGACTGATTGTTGCTAGCACACAAAAGTATATGACATTGTTGATAGAGTCATATGTAGATGACTGTTGATAGCATAGATATGCAAATGACTGATTGTTGATAGAGTCATATATAGATGACGGATTGTTGGTAGCAGACATAGGCCTATGATTTATTGTTGATAGTCATATATAGATGACTGATTGTTGCTAGCAGACAAAAGGATATGACTGATTGTTGATAGAGTCATATGTATATGACTTATTGTTGATAGCAGACAAAAGTATATGACATTGTTGATAGTCATATATAGATGGCTGATTGTTGATAGCAGAAATAGGCATATGACTCATTGTTGATAGAGTCATATGTAGATAACTGATTGTTGATAGCAGAAATAGGCATATGACTCATTGTTGATAGTCATATATAGATGGCTGATTGTTGAGAGCAGAAATAGGCATATGACTCATTGTTGATAGAGTCATATGTAGATAACTGATTGTTGATAGCAGAAATAGGCATATGACTCATTGTTGATAGTCATATATAGATGGCTGATTGTTGATAGCAGAAATAGGCATATGACTCATTGTTGATAGTCATATATAGATGGCTGATTGTTGATAGCAGAAATAGGCATATGACTCATTGTTGATAGAGTCATATGTAGATAACTGATTGTTGATAGCAGGCATAGTCATATGATTGATTGTTGATAGTCAAATGTAGGACTAATTGTTGATAGCATACATAGACATATCATTGATTGTGGATTGATTCATATGTAAATAACTGATTGTTGATAGCGGACATGGGCATGAGACTCATTGTCGATAAAGTCATATGTATATGACTTGATAACAGACACAGGCATATGATTCATTGTTGATTGTCATATATAGATGACTGATTGTTGAGAGCAGACATATGCAGATGACTCATGGTTGATAGAGTCATACGTAGATGACTCATTGTTGTTAGCAGACACAAAACGTTGACTACAGAAACTACTACAGTAAAGGAAGGGTCGAAGAAAGGACTAAACATCAATTGTAAGAAAGCAGAATATATTGTCGAGAGCAAAAGGAAGATCACTATCTATAAACTACGAATTGAATATACCACAATCAAGCAAACACAAAATTTTAACAGAGCAAGCATAATACATCACCGAAATCCAAACGTTCATTGGAATAGCGAAAGATGCTTTCCAAAAGCTAAGCGAAGTTTTAAGAAACAGGAAAATTTTGTAAGAAACAATGCTATGTAATATCAATCATATATAACAGTGTGTTGTTGAGTATTTTCACAGTGGAGTCTTGTATTTCTAATAAGTCGTTCTAAATTAGGTCCGACGTACAAAACGTTAGGAACTTGGAAAATAAGAGTCAATGGCGCAGCAATCTAGGACTAATTGTTGATAGCATACATAGACATATCATTCATTGTTGATTGATTCATATGTGAATAACTGATTGTTGATAGCAGACATAGGCATGAGACTCATTGTCGATAAAGTACTTCAAATGTCCGAATCTCGACTGACGCGCTCAACACCATTCTGCCAGACTTGCCACTGCTACTCCTACTTATTATCTATGGGAGAGTCTATTACAATAGAATAGGTACTATGGCATAACACAGTGAATGCCTTATAATTTTCTCACATATGAAGAAGTAACTTGAGGCCACGAAAAAGTGGTTCTACATCCTATAGACTGAACGTATTCGTAATGGGGTAATCAAAAATAACAGTTATACTTAGAATCAGGAAAAGATATAATGAGAAATGATCTCTTGGAAAACATGACATTCCCGCGTAATATTGAAGGGAAAGTGGGCCAGAGGAAAGTAGTTAATAACCTACCCAACGAGCTTGTGCATATGAATAGCTGAACAGGTAATAGGAGAGACAGTGTAAAGATAAACCTTACTAAGAGCTACAAAGGATAGGAAAATGTGGAGAGCCATGATCACCCACACCCTGAATAGACATTGCACATGAAAGTAGAAGAAGAATTATGAAATGCTTATTTTACAAGCTTTGTTGTCAATTAATTTTTTTATTGTTTATTCTTCTCGTGCGTCAAGGTCCTTTTCCCGCCTAAATCGACGGATATTTAGATTTAGTAATCTCAGAGGAAAACAAAAAGATTCCATTTCTTTAAAATGAAATAAAAAAAAATAAAAAAGAATTATATTTGATGGAAAAAAGGGTCAGTGTAATTTTGAAAGCAAATAAATTTTAATCGTAAGAAAGAAAATATAATCTTACACCGAATGGTACCAAATATTAATTCGCAAAACATCGCACCACTAATGTACGTCAAAAAAGCCTACCAATCTATAATATATATTGATTCAATTGATTGATTTTTACGGCTTATCAACCATTTACAGGTTATTTAAAGCCAGAAAATACTTTTAGATCGTAAGAATATTTTTTTTAAAATAATTGTTTTCGTAATACACTTCCTTCTAATTAACAAATAACTGTTGGAGAGGAGGCGGATTTATAACTTAATCAGAATTTGATAAACAAGAAATAATATGGACATAAACTAGGGGATCAATTCTATATGGCAACCAATATATAAAGTGATCCCTCACTTTGTGACCACGGTAGTTTCTATCCATATATATCCAAGAGAATGTTAATAACTCGAAAAGGCATTTATAATAGATTAAGTCATTCATTCAACCATTTTAAACGGCTTGTCAACCATTTCCAGGTTATATTTTCTGTCTTTAAAAAGCCACAAAATATTTTTTTTAGATTGTCAGAATTTTGTGGTGGGGTGGAGATAATAAAGATTTTGTAATAGATATCTTACTAATTAACCCACAGCTGGGGAGAGAAGAAGTGGATCCATTCCCCAAGGGTATTTGCACGTAAGTAAATATAACAAACACAACGGGAATTGAAAATCGACTGTCCGATTAACAATTCCGAGCCGTTATCCAATCAGACCACCCGCACATCCAAGCTTATAGTACCTAGTATTCCCAAGTGGTCACCTATCTAGGTAATGACCAGACTCGACGTTGCTTAACTTCGGTGATCTTACGGGTACCGGTGTTTCAACGTGATATGGCTGTAAGCCTCAGTATATATTGGATTCCTGCGAGTTTTATCGAAACTGGGAAGATTTCCCATCGTGGACGAGATTAGGGAGATGGAGATGAAGCAGGTAAGTGCAATGATAACTTTTCAGACTGTTTTTAAAAGTATAAAAGACGTTGGGATATGTGAAATTTGAAAAGAAGTAATTGAAGTAGACAAAGAAATGGGTAATGAACTGTTACGTAATATCGGTCCTCCTCTGGCAGTGAATGCTGGGCAATCAACTCATTGATGAAGAAAATCCTTCAAGCAACAGCAATGCGCTTTTACAGAAGGATACTGGGAATGACATGGATTGAACATGAGAAAAAGGGAACAAAAAAGAAACAAAAAATTGAGATATCTAGGGAACATAATGAGGAAAGAGGGTTTGGAAAATTTGGGATTCACAGGACATGTTCGAGGCAAGAGGTACTGAGGAAAGCAGAGAATAAACTGCATAACGAACGTGGATAAATGATTGGCAGAACAGAGATTAAGAGAGACAGCAAAAAAAAAATCAGCGCTAAGAGCTATAAATTACAAAATGTTTTGGAGAGCCATGATCCTGATGCGTGACGTCACAAATAATAATAATAATAATAATAATAATAATAATAATGTGTCTGTCTATATTTATGGGAACCAGTAATAAGGAGTGCCAGAGAAAAGCGATAACAACAACAAAAATTGCAATATGAACTCTGGTAAAAACATAAAATGATAGCATGAAAAATTGGAATATGAGCACTGGTAAAAAAAAACAAAAAAAAACAGAAATTCATGCACAGATGTCGTCAAGGACACAGTGACAGTGGATAAAAGCATTGGTTAGAACCAGTGACAGGACCCAAATATTGTAAGTTCAATACCCGGTTAAGGCTGTGGAGAACTTGGAGAGGGGAATTAACAGGAGATAACTGACAACTGACATCCATTAATCATGGCACGTGGAACTAGAACAGTCTACCCCAGTGAGCGAAACAAAGGGTTCAGTTCGACATTCCAACCACATGAAGAAGTCCGGAGCGTACAACGGCTGAAACGTTGTAAATAATATGTCGACAAAGATGAGGACAATAGTCCGAATAATGAAAATAGTGTGAATAATAAAGTGATATTGCTCTAAGAGGTTTATCTTTTTCGTTAGTCTAAAATGGCTGGAACCATACCAGCATATGCACACAAGGTCAGTATTTATTCTAAATGTAACATCAACTTTTTTTCAGTGTGCCTTGGCATCGCAAATGTCTGAGTTCCTCCGTCTTAAGCAAAGCTCTCAAGGTATACACTCCAACCTA